TCTCCATTTCTCCAACGCCAGCTTGATGGCCAGCAACTCTCGGTCTCCCACATCGTAATTCTGCTCGGCGGAAGAAAGTCTACGGGAGAAGAATGCACAGGGTTGGATCTTCTGATCCGAATCAAGTCTCTGGGATAGGACTGCTCCAACTCCAGAATCTGAAGCGTCCACCTCGAGAATAAATTGTTTAGCCGGGTCAGGCTGCATTAGCACGGGTGCTCTGGAAAATAAAGATTTCAGTTTATCAAACGCAGCTTGCGCCTCAGGGGTCCACTGAAAAGTGCGTTTGACAGAGGTCAGAGAAGTTAATGGAAGGGCGGTTTGGCTATAGTTCCTGATGAAACGACGATAAAAGTTTGCAAAACCCAGAAATCTCTGTAGTTGTTTGCGGTTCTCTGGAACTGGCCAATCTAACACTGCCTTTATCTTGTCCTCAGATGGTTTTACCTGGCCGCCCTCGAGCACAAACCCCAAAAAGGTGACTGAAGACTGGTGAAATTCGCACTTCTCGGCCTTTACGAACAGCTTGTTCTCCAGCAGTCTCTGTAAAACAAGGCGGACATGTTTCTTATGTTCGGCGAGGTTCCTACAGTAAATGAGTATGTCGTCAATATAGACGAAAACAAACACATTTAGAAAGTCTCTGAGAACATCGTTCACGAGGGCCTGGAAACAAGCTGGAGCGTTAGTTAGACCAAAAGGCATTACCAAATACTCGAATTGGCCAAATGGAGTCTTGAAGGCTGTTTTCCATTCATCTCCTTCTCGGATCCTGAGAAGATGGTAAGCATTCCTTAAATCCAGTTTAGAGAAAACAGTCGCTCCTTGTACAGGTTCAAATGCAGAGGCGAGTAGAGGAAGTGGGTATTTGTTTTTAACTGTGATCTGGTTCAAACCTCGGTAATCAATACAAGGTCTCAGGGAACCATCCTTCTTTCCAACGAAGAAGAACCCAGCGCCCAAAGGAGAAGAAGATGGGCGGATTATTCCTGCAGCTAATGATTCATTTATGTATTTTTCCATGGTTTCTCTTTCAGGCTTGGAAATGTTATACAACCTGCTGCTAGGTAGTGGTGCACCAGGTAAAAGATCAATGGCGCAGTCATATGGTCTGTGTGGAGGTAGGGACGTCGCACTGACCTTACTGAAGACATGGGCTAGGTCATGGTACTCGGAAGGAACTGAAGAAAGGTCAGGAGAGTCCATCTCCCGCCCACCTCTAGGAGACCCCACCAAGGGGGCAGCTGAACGGAGGCATGTTTCATGGCATGAAGTGGACCAACATTCCAGGGGACGCTCAGTCCAATTAATGTGAGGATTATGCTTCTCCAACCACTCGAAACCAAGCACCAGAGGGGAACATGCAGAGGGAAAAACAAAAAATTTTATTGTCTCTCGGTGGTTACCTGACAGAAGTAGCTCGAGGGGCTGAGTTTAATGGGTAACTTGGTGAAGTCTCTTTCCGTCAATTGCAGAAACACTAAGAGGTTGAGTCAGAGGAATGGTTTCTATTTGAAGTTGTTGGACGAGGTTTGAATCGATTAAATTCCGTTCACAGCCTGAATCGATGAATGCAGAAAAGGAGAGGCTCTGGTTAGAACAAAACAATGTGGCAGGAAGCAACAATCGAGGAGATTTCTTAGTGTTAATTTGGCCCGCCAGACTCCTCAGATCCTCTGGCGGGCCCAGGCTTTTGATTTAGCCGGGCAGGAAGCGATGAAGTGTCCACTCTCACCACAGTAAATGCATAATTTGCTTAGAAAACGTCTTTGTCTCTCCTCTGGGGTGAGCCTAGTGTGTCCCACCCGCATGGGTTCGACATCTCTTTCGCCCGAATGAGAGGCCTGAACAGGCAGCGGTAGAGACTGGGCCTTAGGTCTCTGTATGGGCAGCTGCTCTGTGGGGGAAGAACAAACAGTCACGTTATGTGAGGCAGAAGAAAGTTTCCCCTGCTTCTTAGAACTGTTTCTGGCACGGATTCTATTGTCCAATCTGATCGAAAGACGAATTAAATCTTCGAGGGTAGTTGGTTCGTCGAGAGTAGCAAGCTCAACTTTAATGTGCTCATTTAACGCCATAAAAAAGGCTCCCTTCAGAGCGCTTTGGTTCCATCCGGAAGCTGCCGCTTTAACCCGGAAATTGATGGAAAATTCAGCCACAGAAGAATTTTCCTGCTTTAGATTGAAAAGAGCTCGAGAGTCTATTGTTTGATCAGTTTCTTGGTTGAATACCTGAGTAAATTCGGAGATGAAATCAGCGTAATTGCAGTTAAGGCTATCGTCGGTGGCAAATCTTGCCTGAGCCCATTCCAAGGCTCTTCCTGTTAGCTGAGAAAGGATGAAGGTTACCTTCTTGTAATCCGTGGAAAAACTTCCTGGAGAGTTCTGAAAAATCAGACGACACTGAAATAAAAATCCTTTGCACTCTTTCATGTTACCAGAAAACCTCTCAGGAAGACTGGGGCGGAACTCGAATGACGTCACAGCTGGTGACCTCGGAGGTGGAACAGGACCCGGAAATGGTTGAGGTACTGGAGTAGCATTAGCATTGTTCAAACGACTGGTGAAGTTTCGGACAACATGATCTTGAAATTCTATGCGGGTGTTTAACTCACTCATAGCTGGAACTTGTCTGTGGATTTGGGCATCCCGCTCCTCCAATAGTTGACGGAGATGTTCTGCTGGGCCTTGAATTTGGCCACAGTGTTCTGTCATGATGGGTTCTCAAAGAGCGACCCAAATATGCACAACACCACTGACGGACACAGGAATAAAAGTTCAACAAGTTTATTATGATAGAAGCACACAGAATGTACTGGTTCTGGCTCGGGCCTGGACACTGGTTCAATGGAGTCTGCGTGAGAGACAGTTCAGTTAGCGATGCGGGTTGGAGCTTGATTTCTAGATGATAACTGATTGTACCTTGAGGGTTCTTGAGGTTAGCTTTGGGAGAGTCACTGTTGGATCTGGAGAGGAGTTGATCAGCAGAGTCCGCTTGCTGCTTCAGCGTCTCACGTCTAATAATGAACAGACCTTGGCTTTGGGTTTTCCAGCTCTTAGTCCTGAGCTGCATGGAAGTTCTCAATGGTTCTTCGGGTTTGGCTCTGAGGGTCGGCTCGGCAGGTTAGCTCTTCCAGAGCTTCACAGAGGAGACACTGGTTTCCTGGAAGACAAAGGCAACGGTTAGAATCCAGGCTGGATTCAAGGTCACAAAGTTACTCAGAGAATCTAGGCTTAGGCGCTGACCAACTGGATCAACACTGCGGCGTTGAGGCAAGGTCTGAAGACAGCTTATATAGTGGATCCTCTGATGATCTTGATGGGCTGCAGCTGTGCAGGAGGCTCACTCAGAAGGATCCACGGCGGACTCTGCTGGAGAAAGGTGGAACTTCTCCAGCTCCCAACAATACGTTTGCAGTGATTTAATGAATCATCTAGTCATGAATGTTAATCAGTAGAAAAATAAAACAATAATTTTCATGGCGATCACTGAGTCTGGGAGCGGCCATTTTTTCCCAAATATAGTAGCCCCTCCCTCCTGCCATCTTCCAGCAGTGACGTCACGGTGCGGTAAGCCTAGCGCCATTCTCCCCGCTTTACAAGCTAAATCAATGGGAACTACTAGACACATCTGCAATCAACAACAATTATTGAAGATTTCCAGAGGACTTCACCATTGAAATTCACCAGAGCTAGAGACGGTTTCTTAAGCAGAGGTTTAATTCCAGCAACCTTAAAGCTTTAGGTATATATCCCTGTAACAGAGATAGATTAATCACATCTAGAATGGAGGAGGAGATCAAAGGGAATACCTCCTTAAATAACCTGGTTGGAACTGGATCTAACATCCAAGTTGAAGGCTTAGATGAAGACAATAGTTTTGCTAATTCAGAAAGTTCAACTGGATCAAAGCAGTCTAAACCCGGTTCAGATTCCATGACTACCTCAGGTACAATCGTGGATAGAGGAGTGCTAATGATCTTATTTTTAATAAGATCAATCTTATTTATAAAGAATCCCATAAAATCATTGCTGCTAAGAGCAGGTGGAATGGACGGTTCAACAGAGCTATGGCTCTGGGTGAGTTTGGCAACTGGATTAAAAAGAAATCCAAAGGACTTCACCATTGAAATTCACCAGAGCTATAGTGAAACTGACAATGTCCACGTGCATGGCAGCTGGATGCTGGAATACAACGGGTAAAAGAGAAAAAAAGAGTTATTCCACCTTTCTGATTCCTGATCCTCCACGGACGGGTTGGTCGTTGGATCGCCAACTTGAAGAGGGAGGATTTGCCATCGAACTTCTGGCCAGAGAAAAAACCCGTAATATGTAGCCAACATTTGGAAGAAGAATGTTTTCAAGATGACTTGGATAATAGCGCGTTGTGAAAAACACCAGATACAGCACTGGGACTTGATCAACAGCCGATACTGCACCGTGACAATGTCACTAACCAGTAGGTGGCAGTAGTGTTCTTTGACAAACATGGATGCCTCCAGTAAAGCACATTCACATGAAAATTACTCTGAATTAAAAACACTGAATATGAGCGACTTTTCCTTTAAAGTACTTTGTTACATTTTAATATATTAATTCTTTCTAATAATATAATTATTCTTAATAATAATAATTGTTAATATGATGATACATTTTTTTACATAATTATTCTTTTTTTCAGAAAGTAAAGTTTGTCTCTTCCTCCAGGTTATTTTATTGAAAGATGCCGTTTTATGTTATGAGTTATAATTTCTATTGTTGTTAATTTTTTTATTATATATCATTTTCTGACAGATTCTTTCAATTTTTTCTGCCTTTTTCTTCAAAATATGATGTTTTTCTCATTAAATTGAGGCGCCTGGTTATTGGGTTCCTATGACCAGTAAGAGAAGCACTTCCTCCCAGTAAGCAGGTGGACGGGTCGGGACGTCCCCGCCGTGAGGGACAGACAGACGAAGCTAACGTGAACGTTTTTGGACGTGAGCAGCCTGTTGGACTGACCTGTCTGCAGAGGAACAGCTGGGCTGGGATGGTCCTGCCGTCCCCTCTGGATCCGGACTGTGGCCCACTGTGACACACGAGCAGCTTTTCAACAACGCTGCTAGAGCTTTAAGGGACACTGACACACAACCAGAGACATTACCTCCAGGATTTGGACCAGAAGCTGGATGTAGAGGCCCGTGACGCCCAGAGAAAGGCCGAACATGGCGGGGAGCGTGATGAAGAACACCACCACAAACATCCACAGCTGGAAAATGGCCGCTGCCACACTGCATAGGTCCTCCATGGCTGTGGTCAGGTCACCTCATCATCTGCAAACCATGAACCTTCTCAGTGACACCATCAGGCTGTGAAATGAGTGAGTCTGTGTCTGCTGACTCGGTTACTTCCACTCATCTGGAAGATCCAGATGTTTTAGAAACAGGTTCTCCTACCTGGTTCCTTTATTCTCAGTGTTACCTGCTGGTTCTGGAGGTGGATGGGAAGAACCTGCACCACAGAACTTCTGGGAGTCCACAGATCCCACAGCTCATTTGCTCTGACTATTAAATTACCATAGAAGAAGAGCTGTGCCTCCAGCTGTGACTAACCCTTAAATTGATCCCTTCGGACCGAGTGAGGTCAGGAGCTGACTTGGGAATGAAGTGGATTCCCAGAATACTTTGCAAACTCTTTCAGTGAGAGGAGAAACGCCGTCCCACCGTGGGAAAGAACTGCATAAATGTGAGTATATTTTTACAATTAACCGTGCATTTTTTTAAATATGTAGGAATATCTTAATTGGACATAAATACAACTGAACTAATCTGATATCAGAGATCTGATTGTTCCTTATGTTCCTAACAGAGCACTTCGCTCTCAATCTGCAGGTTTACTAGTGGTTCCTAGAATTTCTAAAAGTAGAATGGGAGGCAGATCTTTTAGTTCTCAGGCTCCTCTCCTGTGGAACCAACTACCAGTTTTAGTCCGTGAGGCAGACACCCTGTCTACTTTTAAGACTAGGCTTAAAACTTTCCTTTTTGATAAAGCTTCTAGTTAGAGTGGCTCAGGTTATCCTGATCTATCTCTATAGTTCTGCTGCTATAGGCTTAACCAGCATAAGCTGGTTGACAGTTGCCTTTTGTATCTATGCTTCTTTTTCTATGTCTGCTTCTGTCTCCTTGAACCCCAGTGGGCCTCAGCAGATGGCCGCTCACACTGAGCCTGGTTCTGCTGGAGGTTTCTTCCTGTTCAAAGGGAGTTTTTCCTCTCCACTGTCGCTACAAGCATGCTTAGTGTGAGGGATTGCTGAAGAGTCAATGAGTCGATGCAATCAGCTGGTTTTCCTTAGATAGAAAACTTTGAATCAATCTGACTGGATGATCTGGTGAACTGGAAAGTGACCTGAGATGACATGATGTGAATTGGAGCTATAGAAATAAACTGAATAGAATAAAATTAAACTAAAAGGATAAACAGGTATTGAGTTATAGAAATAAACTGAATAGAAATAAATTCCGTACTGTTGAGTTAAAAGGTGAATATAACAAAATCTGTATTTTCTGTAACTCAAAAATCTACCGAGATCTTTTTTTAGGTAAAGTCTACATATCTAGATCTACTGGATTCTATTATCAGCTTCTATAAAACAGTAAAGGTCATTTTCATTGTTTTCTTGAAAAAGTAAAATATTCATTTTTCTCCCAACAGCAGCAGTTAGATCAGAACAGCATGTTACACAATAACTGGATAAACAACAGAAGTTCATCATGACCCAAAAGCAGCGTTAGAGGAAAACACCGAACCTGAGCTAAAAACCACCGAACCGAACCGAACCGGCAGAACAGACCTGACACGCAGCAGCGGGGAGTCCGGTCCAATGTCCGGCTGCTTCCTTCGCAACAGCTGGCTGTTCGCCCGGGGGGCAGAGGCCACGCCCCCTGCGGACGTCACGAGAGCTGGACCGCTTTAAGATCTGGACCAGAAAACACGACCTAAAGAAAGAAAGAAAGAAAGAAAGAAAGAAAGAAAGAAAGAAAGAAAGAAAGAAAGAAAGAAAGAAAGAAAGAAAGAAAGAAAGAAAGAAAGAAAGAAAGAAAGAAAGAAAGAAAGAAAGAAAGAAAGAAAGAAAGAAAGAAAGAAAGAAAGAAAGAAAGAAAGAAAGAAAGAAAGAAAGAAAGAAAACAAACATTTATTAAACAATAATTAACAGTTATAAACTCCGGTCATTAGCAGCTTGTTATATTTTAGTTCTACCTGATCAGAAAAAGTGCTCAAAAACACAACTAAAAAGGAAGGAAGGAAGCAAATGAAAGAAAGAAAGAAAGAAAGAAAGAAAGAAAGAAAGAAAGAAAGAAAGAAAGAAAGAAAGAAGAAAGAAAGAAGAAAGAAAAAGAAAGAAGAAAGAAAAGAAAGAAAGAAAGAAAGAAAGAAAGAAAGAGAAGAGAAAGAAAGAAAGAAAGAAAGAAAGAAAGAAAGAAGGAAGAAAGAAGGAAGGAAGGAAGGGATTTCTTTCTAAATGTAACCTTCCTATTATTCTGGAGAATATATAAAGGTTTTTGTTGCCATTAAACTGGGATCTGCAGGTTATTCAGTCAGAGACCAGGAAGCGGTTCTTTTTCATCTCCTTCTGTTGGCTAAATATGTCTCACCCATGGGCGTAGGTTTGCATAGGGACCATAGGGACATGTCCCTACCAAAATTTTGAACCGACCTAATTGTCCCGACCAATAATTGGATGTGAGCAACATGTTTATAATTTACAGCAGTAGTTGTTGCAGCAGTGGCTTCTTTTCCTCTCGCAGCTCCTCTGCCTGGTCTCTCCTGTCCCTTTCATGTAGCAGCGCATGGAACTGTGCTGCGCTGTTTAACTCCACTCTCATTGGTTGTTCTGCCTTAGGTTCCGCCTTCTCTCTCTCTGATTGGCTGTTTTCTAGTCCGCGTGTGCTTGGAGCACAACATTGAAAATTTATTCACACTAGAATACAGCGGTTACTACAATTAATATTAGGCTACAAAACTAGTCCCGATTAAAAAAAAAATGAATATCATGTACACTAAAAAACAAAAACCTTTTTTTTTCTTTTATAAAACGAAATATTCTGAGTCAGCCAGGAGTTCTGAAGACACAAAATGGGCAAATAAAGGCTGTAAGCCATCAACGTTTCTGATTCTTAGCCACAGCCAACTAAAAAAGAAAATGTGAGGATTTCCTTTTTACTGATATTAAGTTGATATTACAGTTTTCATTTTTTTGTTTTTATTTTTACAATTTTGATATAATAACTGATCTAAGTGGGTTGCTCTGTGGGGAAAGACACATTTTACATTTATATTACTGTATGTTTTAAAGTCTCTATACTCCAGTTAATGATGAATCACTCACTAAATTAGTTGACGATTATTGAAATAATCAATTAATATGATTCATTTTTTTCAGCCCCAGATGAAATACATGAAATTGTCTACACAGAGTAACTACAGCCCAGATGTTCAACTTTTATAGTGAAGTTAATATTTTAATGAATGTATTATTTTGCTGGATACAGAGAGAGCATAGTAGGTAAAAATATAAGAGTGGGGTTTAACTCTGCACAATTCTATATCTTCAAAAGAAAATACTGTATTTACCTTCTCTCTTAGTCGTTCAAATGAAACCGTTTTCAAAGTGGAAAACAGTCCTAATTCCACATTCATCAGAGCCGCTGATACTTCAAACATTGATAAACAGCATCTAATGAGTGTAGAGCTTATAACATTTTTATTAATGGAGCAAAATGATGCTTTTCTCTTTTAACAATGAATTCCTCTTATCAGTACGGATGCTCACATCGAGCATAAAAAAGGGCATGCATATTGCATAGCACCAATGACACCAGACTAATAGTGTCCCTACCAAAGTTCAAATCAAACCTACGCCCTTGGTCTCACCTCATGTCTCCAGTCAGATCCCTCTTTCAGAGAGAGATGCCGTCTGTTCCTGCTGTCATTTGAGCTGTTTAGCTGCTGTGTCCTGGAAACAGACTTGGCTGTTAACTGATCACTTTCTCCTCACTAACAAGGTGAAGGAAGTTTCCTTCAAACTCTTTCACAGGATTTATCCTGCCAAAAACTACCTTAAAAAGCTCCAATCTGATATTATTGTGAGCTGCACTTATTGAGATCTTCTTCCACTCATTTGTTCTGGTTGGATCCAAACTCTAAGACTTTCTGACTTTTTCTGGATCCAAATATTTAAAAAGATTTTCTACTTCGTTGGGAAAAGGTTCTATTTGGTTTTCAAATAGAATGGGTTTTCTCTTAATTATCTTGACTAAATTTCACTTGCATAAATTAGGATTTCTGAAAAACAAAGAAAGAGCAAGACTTTCATGTTTTTTTTGTTTGTTTTTAAGTGGAGCAATATTTTCATACTATTAAACCCAACTTTAACTAAAAGGGACAAAATAAAACTATATCAATCTGTTCCCAACTAAACATTCTGGACAATTTAATGTAGAACAGATGTGAATTAGTAGAATATATCTGTATATACATGACACTCCTAAGCATATCTGTCTGTCTGTTTGTTTGTCCTTGTTTATTGTGACATTCCCCCTGAAATATTTGTTTGTTTATGTGTATATTTTACATATTATTGTGGACTTTGTGTGAAATAAAGAAACAAAGAAAGAGAGATTTGAGGCTGATTAATTAGGATCTACTCATCAAATGTGATATTAAAAATCCTTGTTGTTGTTTTGAATTGGAAGCTCTTTTTATCATTCAGTCATTCGAAATAAATATCCGAATTTTTTTCTTTCGGTGAATTATATTCTTCAGGTAAAATAACTGAATAAATATGGAGTACCAATCCTGCCATAGTTAAAAATATGTGACATAAAAAGCAATCCCAGCTGAGCTATTAATGGTTCCACCTCCTCCAGTCCGGTAGGGGGCAGCGCTGCGCTGAGCGGCCGGCGGTCCGCCGCTCTGCATAGCGCTGAAGAAGGACGCGGCGGTTCGTGTTGAACTTCTAGGCGTCATGTCGGAGCCTAATGTCCGCATTTCAGGCACAGTTTTAGCTTCTCTCATGTTCCAACATGTCAACAGCGACTCGGACGTGGTGAGGAAGTTTTTCTTAACTCGTCATATACGCGCTAACGGGACAGCAGCGCCAAGCTAACTCACCAAACTCCGTAGAAAGATGCTTCAGGTCGGAGAGAAATGCTTCCCAGAGAGAGAAAGGCTGCAGGAGAAACCGATCAGATGTCTCATCAGTCCTGGAACACACTGTAGATCTATTCGGCTTATTTTATAAATCTAACTGAAGTATTTCTATGGTTTATTTCCCACTTGAATTATTTTGTTTTGATGAAAGGAAGAGAAAAAAGTTCTGATGTCATAATCTGAGTTTATAATTCCAGAGTTTAATGATATGAAACATCTGAAACGACAAAAAAGGAAGAGAGAAATAAATCAGAATTTATTTTGATTTGTTCTTAATATAAGAGAAGAGAAGTAATATGGTTTACTTCTCCATAAACCGAAGATCCCCAATTTTATCTATACTGTAAATATCTTCCATCCTGTTATTGTCCTGGAACCGCAACTTTAAAGTGAAGGTCTCTTTGCCTTAAAGTGGAGGTCTGTGCTTCAAAGCGGAGGTCTCTGCTTTAAGGTGGAGGTCTCTGCTTCAAGGTGGAGGTCTCTCTGCTTTAAGGTGGTGGTCTGCTTTAAGGCGGAGGTCTCTCTGCTTTAAGACGGAGGTCTGTGCTTTAAGGCGGAGGTCTCTGCTTTAAGGTGGAGGTCTCTGCTTTAAGGTGGAGGTCTCTGCTTTAAGGCGGAGGTCTCTGCTTCAAGGCGGAGGTCTCTGCTTCAAGGCGGAGGTCTGTGCTTCAAAGCGGAGGTCTCTGCTTTAAGGCGGAGGTCTCTGCTTCAAGGCGGAGGTCTCTGCTTCAAGGTGGAGGTCTGTGCTTCAAAGCGGAGGTCTCTGCTTTAAGGCGGAGGTCTCTGCTTCAAGGCGGAGGTCTCTGCTTCAAGGTGGAGAACTCTCTGCTTTAAGGCGGAGGTCTCTCTGCTTTAAGACGGAGGTCTCTGCTTTAAGGCGGAGGTCTCTGCTTCAAGGCGGAGGTCTCTGCTTCAAGGTGGAGAACTCTCTGCTTCAAGGCGGAGGTCTCTGCTTCAAGGTGGAGAACTCTCTGCTTTAAGGTGGAGGTCTCTGCTTTAAGGCGGAGGTCTCTGCTTCAAGGCGGAGGTCTCTGCTTCAAGGCGGAGGTCTCTGCTTCAAGGTGGAGGTCTGTGCTTCAAAGCGGAGGTCTCTGCTTTAAGGCGGAGGTCTCTGCTTCAAGGCGGAGGTCTCTGCTTCAAGGTGGAGAACTCTCTGCTTTAAGGCGGAGGTCTCTCTGCTTTAAGACGGAGGTCTCTGCTTCAAGGCGGAGGTCTCTGCTTTAAGGCGGAGGTCTCTCTGCTTCAAGGCGGAGGTCTCTGCTTCAAGGCGGAGGTCTCTGCTTCAAGGTGGAGGTCTGTGCTTCAAAGCGGAGGTCTCTGCTTTAAGGCGGAGGTCTCTGCTTCAAGGCGGAGGTCTCTGCTTCAAGGTGGAGAACTCTCTGCTTTAAGGCGGAGGTCTCTCTGCTTTAAGACGGAGGTCTCTGCTTTAAGGCGGAGGTCTCTGCTTCAAGGCGGAGGTCTCTGCTTCAAGGTGGAGAACTCTCTGCTTTAAGGTGGTGGTCTGCTTTAAGGCGGAGGTCTCTCTGCTTTAAGGTGGAGGTCTCTGCTTTAAGGTGGAGGTCTGTGCTTCAAAGTGGAGGTCTCTGCTTTAAGGTGGAGGTCTCTCTGCTTTAAGGTGGAGGTCTGTGCTTCAAAGTGGAAGTATCTGCTTTAAGGTGGAGGTCTGTGCTTCAAAGCGGAGGTCTCTGCTTTAAGGTGGAGGTCTGTGCTTTAAGGCGGAGGTCTGTGCTTTAAGGCGGAGGTCTCTGCTTTAAGGCGGAGGT